CCAGTGACCCGTCTCCACTTATAAACTTCTGAAACCAGCGACGAACCGTTCGCTCCGATGCAGTGCCATCTCCCCATACAACGTTGATGTTTGTGGCTGCATCCTTCGCAGTTTGACCAAGTTTGAACTCGTGAAGTAAAACCGTTCAAAAAGCAGTCTTATCCATTCTGCCAAAAAAACTTCCTAAGGGTTCCAAAACCTCACAGACTTTGGGGAAAGCGCTATGACAGAAAGAGCAACTAATGACTTATCTAAGAAACACAATGTGTCGATTAGTCTGAATGGACAACCGCTAAAATTTGAATTCATATGGCGCGTGCGTGGGAACGGCCAGAACTTTCCTTACAACCTAATAGAAGAGTTGTCGAAATTAGCGAGCATTTGGGTGCTATAAGCGCGTTGCCACCTGCAAGGCGGATGTGATGTAGGCAGCGTTCACTCTTTTTTCCATCTGACGCGTGACGTGGTGAACGGCGCTGAACAGTTAGGGCGAGAAGGTATCGTCTCTCATCACGACAACGGCTCCCTCGTAGAATGCTGAGGCTGTTGCCGTAATGTATTGGACATGAAATGCCCTCATGTCTTGAGTAGAAACGCCTTGATCACTAATGACTTTGATTAGCCCTTTCGTTGAGACGGCATAAAGTCCTTTTTCCTTTCTGCTCGAGGCATAACAGTGTAAGGGTCTAGCAGGGTACGGTAAGGGGTCCGATGTTGGGAGCAGGCGGTAGCCGATGGAATTCCTAGATGAAAGCACTGATTACAGGCTGCGCGGAGAACAACGCGATGCGCTGGTATTCGAGGCAGACGACCGGACGGGGAACTGCGGCTCGCACCCATAGCCTTTGGCTCAGGACGTCTTCCGCTCCCGGCTGCTGCCCATCGAATGACTCCATGGATCGTATTCGACTGCTCATTTGTGCTACCTACTGTAACCTATTCTCGCCTATTCGTTATTCTGTATTTGCGACACGTAATTATGCTATAACTATCAATAAATTCTTATAAGACATTCGCGCCATCACACTGGTAGCAGCGAGTGGTTCCACTCCTGCGAGCACGGTGAGTTTTCTGAAACTTTGTTTTCTTCTTTTTTGATTTCGCGAGTGACTTTCTTTCTGTGGGATTTCTTCTCTTTTTTGATCAGCGCGCATTTTTCTTCCTTCTTTTCCTCTCATTCTCCCTTATCTCGTTTTCCCTTTTTCTCTTCTTGATTACCTCGACGCTAAAGTTTTATAAAGGTAACGGTGTAATAAGTTAAGTTTGTTTGAGAGGAATAAAGTAGAGTTAGCGTTCAACGCTCGAAGAGTCTAAATTGGACTTTGTGTCGATATATGTGGCTCTTGTCAAGAGGTATCGCCGGCGAGAGGCCAGAGGGCCTATAGCTTCAAGCACCAGGACACTGACCCTACGGATTCTCCATCGTCGAAGCGCTTCCGCGGCTCCCGCCTCCACCTTCGCGACGACCAACGTCGAGCCATACACGTGGGGCTCGCTGGTCTCCCGTTCCACGCAATCCGAGCAGCTTACGGTTCCGGCAGAACCGTGGTTAGAGCTTTCCTTGCGGCTTTACTGGCCAAACATCAGTCATTCGTCATCGTGACGGCCACGACAAACGTGGCTTGTGCCCAATTTACCGAGTCTATCCTACGCCTGGACGACTATAGCCACTTCGCGGTCCTCCGCTTTGTAGCTGATTCTGCTTTGGCCGATGGAGTACCTACCACACCGGTCGACCTGCACACCGTTCTAAAAACCCTTACTGATCTCTACGGCGATCGAATGGAGGAAAGGGAAAGATGCTAGCACTACATCGAACGACGACGGCTTCTGGAAATCTTACTATTCCATCCCGACGCTCGTCTACACCTGTCAGACGAAGATCGAGAGGAGTATAGGATATCGGAAAGGGAAAATTCTGACGCCACGGAAGAAGCAGTGAAGGTAATGATGCGTGTCCGGTTCCCGTCCATTATATGCATGACGACGGCGTCACTTCTCAATTCAACGGCCAAAGGAGGACTATTTGACGAACTGTTCACTGGCTGTACGGTACTGATCATGGACGAAGCGTCTCAAGTCCCAGAGCCGGCCTTCGTCGCCATTGCCGCACGCTTTCCTGCGCACGGCAGATATACATTGGTGACCCTCACCAACTGGAGCCTTACGTGCGGTGTTCCCGCTCATTCCGTGCTGCCCAACTAGATGCCAGAGGAGCGATGGACGTCATTCTGCGCAGTCGTATCCCGACCGCTGCACTCACCACCATCTTCAGGGCCCACCCATCGTTGAATGCCCTGCCCAACTACCCCTTCTACAACGGCACTCTGACCAGTGGAACTCGGGCTAACGAACGTCGTCTTATGACCCAAACACTCCGACTTCCTAATCCAGATATTCCATTAGTGTTCGTTAACGTAGCAGGACGATCGCAAATCTCTTTGGCTCGCATCGCAACGAGGATGAGGCGGAATGCTGCAGAAAATCTCCGTCAATTAGTGGCATTAAATGTGTCTCCACAGTCTATCGCAATTGTGACATTTTATAAGGCTCAGCAACAACTTCTGTTCAATTACGCAACTCAGCACGGGATAGCTCTGCACACGGTGGACTCTGTCCATGGCCGTGAAATGGACATCGTCATCGTCCCTACTTCTCGCACGGACGTCTCTCAGACCTCAGGAGACTTCTTGGACGACCCGAGACGAATGAACGTCGCACTGACGAGATGTCGTCACGGACAGTTCATCTTGGAATACGCTCGTACCCTACGCACACTCCGCAACTGGGACGCTTGATCCAGTGGTCGAGAACGCGTGTACAATCGTCAGCACACCAGGTCTTCCTGACCTCTTCGATTAGACTCCAGTTTTCCTATGATGAGTATTTTTCATGCTGTTCTAAACACTTCTTTTTCTACTTTTTGCTCCGACCGTCTGCTCCCCACGCTACTCACATTCGAGGACGGACGTGTTTATGGTAAGGGGTGGTGTAAGGGTCCAGCGGGGTACGGTAATGGGTCCAGTAAGATCGATGTTGGGAGCAGGCGGTAGCCGATGGAATTCCAAGATGAAAGCACTGTTTACAGGCTGCGCGGAGAATAACGCGATGCGCTGGTATTCGAGGCAGGCGACAGGACGAGGAGCGGCGGCTCGCACCCATGGCCTCTGGCTCAGGACGTCTTCCGCTCCCGNTTCGACTGCTCATTTGTGTTACCTACTGTAACCTATTCTCGCCTATTCGTTATTCTGTATTTGCGACACGTAACTATGCTATACTGTTAATAAATTCTTATAAGACATTCGCGTCATCACACTGCAGTATTTCGCACTCAAGCAACACTTGGAGGTGGGTGAATGTGGTTTGACGTTGATCGTATAGATTTCTCCAAAGCTCTGTTTGCTCACATAGTCTCTTTCATCCTGTGATATTACGCGAGAGTCGTATGGGGAGCTTACAGAATCGTGACAGTATCTAGGCAAAGTGGTGGATTGCTTGATATTGCAAGGGAAAATGTAAAAAGAGGTATTCAGATATAGACATCCTAGTCCTGGATTGGCGAAGATCCAGCGGTAGTTGCGGATGCTTTTCCCATCCCCGCACATTACACTCTGGCAGCTAAGCTCGAGAGTTTCCAAAGACTAGTGACTTTGTGACTTGTAAACTCTCGCCTTTTCAGCACGGCGCTGTCGTTCCTAGCACACGTTAGACAAGCAGAATGTGATCCTTTCTTAGTAAAATACAAAATTCAGAGCGATGGAGATGGTATTCCAATCAAGTGGAGGTCATCGAAACGATAATTAGGTAAGACTTTATCGAAGAGTGCAGTGTTCTCTTTTTTGATGGTCAACCACCGAGTGACTTGTAGCGTGAGGCAAATGAATGTGCTCCTGGAATTGCGAAATACTCGGAAAAGCCTTTGCGCACTCTCGTTTCCATGATGTGTAATCTTTAGGAATTGTTTTTGAGCGTTCACTGTGAAACATATACAAGTGCAGGTCGTTACAACCTTCACACTATGGCCCGTATGCATAACGCCCGGGGTAGGGGAGGGAGAGGAAGGCCCGTATGCACAACTCCCGGGGTAGGGGAGGGGAAGGAAATGTTTGCGAAGGGCGCGAACGTTCAAATGGTAGGTTTTGGGTCAAGATAGTGACAATGGAGCGATGTTTTT